CTTCCTTCCTTCCTCCTTTCTTTCCTTTCTTTCTTTCCTTCACTGTGACCCTGGCATTGAAGCAGTTACAACTGCCCTTCCTTCCTTCCTTCCTCCTTTCTTTCCTTTCTTTCTTTCCTTCACTGTGACCCTGGCATTGAAGCAGTTACAACTGCAAAGTATTCCATAATTCAGCTTTTTTCCCTGCTGCTTGGAAGGTCTGGGAGGAACCTAGGTGGGTTTAAAAGGTGTGGTGCCCCTCGAAAAGGGCATGGGAGGTGGTGGTGGTGAGACTAACCACTGGTTTTAGCACCAGGTGTAAATTATTCTCCTTTTCAGGCAAGGCTCCCAAGATGTCCATGTTTATCCAGGAATGAGAGGGAGGTGCATTTTCTTCTCAGTCTGGCACTAAATGCAACCACTGGCTTCATTCCAGGGAGTAAAAGCAGTGGATTAACAGGAGTTCACCCTTGCCCCCTCTTCTCCCCTCAGCCACGATCAGGTGAGAGGGAAGGAGAAGGAAAGAGGAAAGGAGAAGGAAAGGAAGGGGGGAAGGAAAAGGGGAAAGGAAAGGGGGAAAGGAAAGGGGCAACTTGTTTTATTTGGAGGATGAGGAGTGCAGTTGGGAGAGGATGGGGAGTGGGAGGATGTGTCTGCTGAGGAGGGGCAGTGGGAAATTTTAGTGAATGTGGAGGGGGTGATTGAGGGATCCTCTGGAGCAGCAGGATTTATTTATGTATTTATTTATTTATTTATTGAATTTGAAGGGGGTTTTTTACATTACATCAGGTTTAGGAGCTGGAGGACATGTCTTGCCTAATGGGTGAGCCAGCATGTGTTGCTGTGTTGGATAATTGACTATTTTTAGACCCTGGAAGTCTCCTCCTGGTGGCTCCAGTTTCAGTGTGGATTGCCAACAGCCTGTGCCCTCAGCTTGGCACAGCTGGTAGGAGCTGTCAGGATATGCTGGACAAAAGGATTTCTCCAGACATGGAAAAAGCGTTTTCTAGGTCTTCACCGAATGGTGTGCAAATTTCCACTTCCTCACTGCAGCCACTTGGAGTGATATAAATTGGCAGAGTTTAGTGCACTTCCCTGTGAGATTTCTCTTAAACACCTATGGATTCCCAGAGCTTGAGGCTGAGGCTGCACAGTCACTCCCTCTCACCACCACTGTACAAGAACTCATCAGGACAACTTGGGATGGGCTGCTTTTCACGTGCATTTAAGGAAAAGTTAAAAAAAAAATTAAAATAGAGAATCAAAGCATACTTCAGGAGACAAACTGCTGGAAAATATCCTGGGATATGATCTGTAAGAACTTTCTGCCTTCATTGAAGCAAGAACTGAAGGAGCCTCAAAACCATGAGCAACTCCAGCTTTGTCTGTCCTGTTTATCCATCCTTTTATTCCCCTGGAGCTGAGGGAGCTCATTAAATGTATTCCCATTAAATGGGTAAGGGATGCAGCAGGGAATGGGATGTATCTGGCTGCTTCCCTGCCCAAAGTGGGGTACACAGAGCCTCTGGATGCAGCTGTAAATTTGGGTTAGAAACCAAGCCAGGAATTGCCTGGGTGTGCCTCACTCAGTGGTATTAAGGGCTGCAGGCAGGGGGAAGGTGGCAGTGCTAGAGGATCTGAAATTCCCATCAATCCCACCCCCTCCTGATGTTCCAGCAGGAACGGGTTGGATTTGCAGACTGTGCCTCTTTCCTGTGTTTTCCTCGAGCCCAGAGTACAACAGGCACAGGAAACTGTGTTTGCTGCCAGAGCCTGGATGGATGGATGGATGGATGGATGGATGGATGGATGGATGGATGGATGGATGGCCACCATTCCCTGCTGCCACTGGAGACTCAAAAATGTGCACGTAGAAGGCTAGGGTGTGTTTTAAACGCCTGTAGAGCAATTAAAAGGATATAAAGCTGTTAGAGAGTATTCAAAGAAATGTCACAAAGATGGCGAAGGGGTGAGGAACAGCTGAGGGCACTTGGCTTGTTCAGCTTGGAGAGGAGGAGGAGGAGGTCTCAGCATGGCCTGCATTTTCCTCCAGAGGGACAGCTCCAATCTCTGCTCTCTGTGACTGGGACAGCACCTGAGGGAATGGCTGGAGCTTAGAGGAGGTTTAAATTGGAGATCAGGAAAAGGTTCTTTCTCCAGAGGATGCTGGCACTGCCCAGTCTCCCCAGGGAATGGGCACGGCCCTGAGGCTGCCTTGTTGGGCTGTCCTGGGCAGGGTTGTACCGCAGGATGCTTGTGGATCCCTTCCAAGCGATGATGCCGGAAGCTGCGCTGCGGGAAAACCGAGATAAGATCGGTGAAATGACCAGAAACGGGGAGACACGAGCCCACAAAAGCTGCGGGAAGCTGTCCGGCCCTACCCCGCTATCTCGGCGGGATCCGCCGCGCCCTGAGGGGAACCAGCGGCCGGGCCGGGATGGGGCCGGCTGAGGGAGGAGAGGCCGCGGGGCCGCGGGGAGGATCCACCTTAAGGGGATCAGGCAGCCCAGCAGGGCCAATCAGGCCGGGCAGGGAGGCCGGGAAGGAGGAGCCGAGGGAGGGACCGGGGCAGGGCGAGAGAGCGGGGCCGGCGGGGCGCGATGGCGGAGGGCGGGGACGCGCCCGCCCCGGGCAGGTACCGTGGGCAGGGGGGTGCCGGGGGACAGCGGGGTCGCCGGGCTTTGCCAGCCCTTTCTGACCCGCCGTGTGCCTCTCTCCAGCGCAGGTCGCAACCTGAAGGAGTGGCTGCGGGAGCAGTTCTGCGACCACCCGCTGGAGCACTGCGAGGACACCCGGCTGCACGACGCGGCCTTCGTGGGGGACCTGCCCACGCTGCGCAGCCTGCTGCAGGACGAGAGCTTCCAGAGGTGGGCACGCCTGCCACACACACACCTTAAAGAGCATCCAGTGCCACCCTGGGACACCTGCCCCCTTCCCAGGGTGCGCCAAGCCCCGTCCAGCCTGGCCTGGGACACTTCCAGGGATGGGGGTTTCTGTGGGAGAGGTGTCAGGGAGGATGCTGCGCTCGCCGTCCTCACAGCTGCACCCTTTGGGGGCTCCCATCTCAGCCTTTTTTGTTCTGAGAGGCATCGGGGTGTTCTTCCCACAGCCTGCAGCTTTTGGGGGCTCCCATCTCAGCCCTTTTTCTTGTGAGGGATGTCAGGGGTGTTCTCCCCACTATTCCCACAGCCTGCATCTTTTGGGGTCTCCCATCTCAGCCCTTTTTCTTGTGAGGGATGTCAGGGGTGTTCTCCCCACTATTCCCACAGCCTGCATCTTTTGGGGTCTCCCATGTCTGCCCTTTTTCTTGTGAGAGATGTCGGGGTGTTCTTGCCACTGTTCCCACGCCCTGCACCTTCTGGGGGCTCCCATCCCACCTGTTTATTTTGAGGAGAGGTGATTCCTAGGATGCTCTCGCTGTCCCCACAGCTTTTGGTGACCTCCATCTCATCCAGTTTTTTCATAGCATGGTTTGGGTAGGAAGGGACCTTAAAGCTCATCTCATCCCACCCTCTGCCACGGGCAGGGACACCTTCCACTGTCCCAGGTTGCTCCAAGCCCTGTCCAGCCTAAAAACCCCCAATTCCAGAGATGGGGGTTTTTATGGGAGAGGTATCAAGGTGAGAGGATGCTCCCCTTTCCCCCAGATCATTCCCGTGGTTTCCCAGGAGGCAGATCTCACAGCTGCTCGTGAGGCTGTGGCAGATGTGCATGAACTCTTTGCAGATCAGGATAGGAATGCGATACCAGGAAGACAGGAGCCTACGGATAATGGGGAAAACATACAAAAGGGATTATAATCAACTATAAACCTGGAACATCCCATGTTACAAAATCTGCCCAGTGCTAACCCTGTGACTGTGGGGATGGTTAATTAATTTTCCTGCATCATGGGGAAATCTGCTTAGAGTGCTAAATGTCTCCCAGACTCAAAAAAAGAAAAAAAAAAAAAAGAAAAACATAGAAGGTGTTATTTCAGCAAAAAATGAGAACGAGCCAGCCTTTCTCTCTGCTACCTGGGCAGCTGGGGCTCTTGGGACCCTTGGGCTGAGGGTTTTTTGGGGGGAAAAAGCAGAGTTTGACAGGAAGAGGAGGGTGGGGCCCACAACTCCATTCAACAGGTGATGGAGTGAGCAGGGAAGTGATGTCTTTGAATTGGGAGGCACATATGGACCTGAAAGCTCATCCTGATGCTAACCTGGGACAGGGACACCTTCCAGGTAGCTGCAAGCCCTGTCCAGCCTGGGCTTGGACACTTCCAGGAATGGGGCTGGCACAGCTTCTCTGGGCTACCAGTTTGGAACATCTCCCTCTAAAAAGGGACAGAAGGGAGAGGCTGTTTTGATTTTTTTAATAGGTGATTTTTGAGGCGGGGTTTGTGCAGCCCCTGGCACAACTAAAGCTCACTGTCCAAGCACTGCTCTGCTTCACCTGTCCAGGCAGTATCTGTGAGGTGATTGAGAGGAGCTGCTAAAAGTGCCAGAGATCAGAGAATCATATCCTGAGTGGAAGGGACCCACAGGATCACCCAGTCCAACCCCTGTCCCTGCACAGACCCCCCAACAATCCCACCCTGAGCATCCCTGAGAGCGCTGCTCAGGCGCTTCCAGAGCTCTGGCAGCCATGGGGCTGTGCCCATTCCCTGGGGAGCCTGGGCAGTGCCCAAGCTCCCAGAGGGCACCCTCCTGGAGGGGATGGGGCTGCCCTGACTGTGT